ACTCCATTAAAAAAAAAATTCAACTACATTACACAGGAGATACAATAAACATGCATTAATTTATCTTTTAATGATTAACCAGAATAGAAAAACTTGAATCATAAAAATATAAAGATAAACAATAAAGAAATATATGCATATATTTGGATATTAGAAATGTAAGAACCAGCTCTTCCTATCTATTTGGATTCATTTCTCAAATTTCTGCTCAAATAATATCATATCATTTAGAAAAAAATAAAAGAAAGCAAATACTAATAGAAAAATTGATTACGGATACTTACTTTAGCTTTTTGAAAATCAATAGAAAAAAAATTAGCTATCGCAAAAAGTTAGATATATTCCACGAAGGTGAAAAATTGAATAGTTATATTTGAAAAATAAATAATATAATAAATCATATTTATCATTCATATTATACTACTAAGATTCATATAATTAGCAATACGAGCATTCCCAAATACTACTATTCGAAATTATCAAAATCTTTTTCTATCAATTGCCTTTTAATAGTTGAAACGTACATCATATATATTTTTCTACATCATATATAATCTCTTGTCAATTAAATTTCCCCACCCATAATTGATAACACAAATGATAAAAAATAGCACAAATAAAAATCACATTATAGGCATTGAATGCAGAAACAATATACATAAATGTATATATGAAATATCACACACATATCGCTGTCCTACAACAAATAAATCGATAATAACTATTGCTATTTGAAAAAAAAAAATCAAAGTCCTATTGTTCGTTTATGTACACATATTCAATAAATTTCACATTATTCATTATTTAGTAATGTGAATTTTTCAGTCATATAATTGACTACCGAATACTAAATAAATTTGACACTTAAATACTGAAAAAAAGAATAAAGAATGAATGAATGAATTTTAAGATAGCTATCTCTCCATATAGAGAGAGCACCATGAAATGAAAATAGAAAATTAGAAACAAATCGATAAATCCTGAATAAATCTAATTAAATGTTAGAAAAAAAAAAAGAAACGATAAATTCTAACGGACAAAATGTTTTTTTTTTTTTTTTGAAATTCAAAGCAGTGAAATATCTCGTGTGCAAATTACAAACTGTTTTTTTCTTTGTTGAGATGAATTTGGACACGAAATATTTTATTCAAAATCTTTTACATTTAATTAATCAAAACATTGCTGCTTTATTCCAAATCCATAAAATTCGACAAGGATGAATCCAGTAATTTACACTTATACAATAGTAGCATCCTGAAAATTGAATGTATTTTAATTGAAAGTTTATCAATTAATGATTGTAACGATTATCTGCCGATAAAAAAGTGCTGAATTTCTACATATCACACTCATTTTATAATTCAATAATTTGTGATAATCATTCAAAGGCATCGAGGAAAATTCCGTTCCTATAATTGTGGCAATGAAGAAGGTAATGAGGAAAGCTTGAAAGAAAAAAAAAATTGGATCAGTATATAAACGAATGAAATTACGAAGAAATTGGAAAGATTAACAATTAAAAAAAAATTAAAATTTACTTTATTGTTGTTTTTTATAAGATGCAGGAATCAATATATCACAAGAATTCAGAAATCAAATACTGCAGGAACAAATCATTAAAAACAATAATGCTTACAAAATTATCGCTACCTTCTTCTCTTCCCTTCCTTGAAATTAGATAAACTTTTTCACTTGCATCGTCTAAGATCGTCTGATACTGACAAGATCAAACTAACAATGGAACGAAATAAGTACAATTGAAGTGTTGGTTGCTATGGAATCAGTCTACAATTAAGGCTAACTCGTTAATTTGTTCAAACTAGAGCCAATAATTTGCCATAACGCATTTAATCCCTATTTTTATATTATTTTGAATTTCTGGCTTATGAAGACAATTTATCTACTTTAAATTTTTCTAAGGGAAATTTCTTTATTGTACCCATGATATATTAATTATCAAAACATAATCATCAAACAATTAAATTGAACAGCAATTACAACAATTAGAATATATCATCAAAAACACTGAGATTTCTTCAAAAGCTCTGCAAATTGAGCATATGAACACATAGATTAAAGGCTATTTTGGAAGCAATATATAGAGAAAATCAATCTAAATTGAAAGTACAAGCTTTTTAATTCCTTTTAAAATCAAAGCAGTATTTTAGTCATTCATTTAATTTTCATCTTTGAATTGCTAACTCAAATATCCAGTTGACAATGTCGTACTGTCTATGATTCTAAAAAGGAAGAAAATCATTTTTAAAAGAAAGATGCAAAGATCAGTCGTGCACAACCGATATCAATAATACTTCCGTGATGCAAGTACGCAATTTCATGTCTGTAATTCACGCTGCTGGAGCCTGTGCATGTACAAAGAAGAATATTCTTGACACTATCATCACTATTTTTGTATGTTATTCCATCGACACGAAAACAATTGCCATGCTTCAGAACGAGCTCAAATCTTCGAGTTACCTTAAAAAATTAAAATATGTTATTCTCCAACTACTATATTAGAAAGAATTAAGATTAGAATTTGAATTACAATTTTACCATTAAATTTTTTCGAATTTCTCCTTTTGGAAAATTATTCAAATCGTTCATTCTATGAAAAAGAAATCTGCAAGAAATTTTATTTGTGCAATTTCTGGATGCATCTATTAACTCAATCATACCCTAAGTGAGATCAATGGATAGACCAATTTATTTGTCGCTGTTCTGAGTTGATTTTAAATCCTGAATTTTTCAGCGAAAGAGTTAGCTTCATAAAAAATCAATGGAAACGATGCGGGTCAAAAGAGTACAAACAAAGAAGTATAAGGAATCGATAAATTAGAAGCTTCAGGTAAACAAATAAATGAAACAGCAATTTACATTAGGAGGAAAAGATATCATAGCGAAATGATAGAAAAACTTACTTTATTGAACAGTAACATAGCATGACGTCCAGCGATTGCTCGACAAAGCGGTGCAATTTTTCTCAAATTAAGATCACAAGATGAATCGATGCCTATAGCTGTGTTCATTTGTTGTACAGGATAAGCATCCATATCATTGCCTTTTAATACAGCTAGCACTGGCATATCATCGTGTAAAATTTCTACAACCAAAAGACTATTATATGAAAT